TAGGTTCATAGGAGTCATGGATCACAAGCCGGCTTATTAGAGTCTCGCTGATCGGTACGGAGACGTCTGTACTTATCTACGAGAGGCTATGTAACTGTTAGGAAAATTTCACTTTATTTGAGTTTCTTGTCGTGCGAGATTTTTGATATCCCAATTCTAAACTTCTGTCTTTCTATTCTCTCACAAATGGTGAGGACATGCGCTACTCGAGATGACCAGGCACCCGTGCCCCCTACTGGAGCCATCAGAGGCTGGGGCCGGGGTAGAGGCCGAAGACGCGCTCGTGGTGCAGCCAGAGCACCCGCGCGAGCTGCCGCCGAGGTAACACCAGCAGTACCAGCCGGAGTCCAGACACCTGATACGTCTGCCACTACTACTCCAACACTCCAGGAGACTTTGCGCAATTTATGAGCATGTACACCACTTTGGCTCAGGCAGGGTTGCTTCCCCTTGCTGCAGCCACATCCCAGGCCGGGGGAGGAGCGCAGACTCCCGCCGCCCGCACTCCTGAGCAGCGAGTGCAAGTTGATCAGGTCCCAGAGGTTATTCCTGTGCCGCCTACAGTGCCAGTTCAGCCCGAGGACAGGGCAGCGGCTTCAGAGGATGAGCAGCGGAGACTTGAGAGGTTCAAGAAATATGATCCTCCTATATTCAGTGGGTTAGCATCAAAGGATGCCTTGGGATTTCTGGAGGAGTGCTACCGTATTCTCCGTACTATGGGCATATCAGGATCGAGCGAGGTTTCCTTCACTACTTTCCAGCTTCGAGGAGCCGCCTATCAGTGGTGGCGTGCTTATGAGTTAGACAGTCCGGATGAGGCAGCTTCCCTGACTTGGGCTCAGTTTTCAGATATGTTCACGAGGGAGTATNGGGTTTTGGGATAGTGTATCAGATTTTTAAAGTTGTGTGTATATGCCGAGCAGCATTTAAATACTATTTCTTTTAGTTATTTGGCTTTTGATTATTTATTCCGTAAGATTAGTTTGTTTCTGCATTTGTTAGGCTTACCTAGTTGTAGAGACTAGGTGCCGTCACGATAGTTCACGCAGGGCGAACTGGGGTCGTGACAATTAGATGTAAGACGGAAAGGATATTTCATGGGTGAGGTAGCAAATAAGGTGATGAAATACAAATATATATATATATATATATATATATATATATATATATATATATATATATATATATATATATATATATATATATATATATATATATATATATA